GGGAGAAGGGCGTCCAGCAGGGGGAACAGGGCAGGCAATGACATGAAAGTCAGGGGAGCTATGAGTTTAGAGGCTGATGAGTTCAGTTTGGTGTGGTCTGGTGGCTTCAAGGAGGACCTTGAATGCCATGCTAAGAAGAATAACCTTCTGCTGAGTGCAGCTGTCAGGGCAGTGGAGAGATGGGAAAGATGTGTCAGCCGGTGATGACAACAGTCTCCACTTCGAGACTGAGTCTGCAACCTTACCAGAGAGCCCATTGTGAATGAATGCCCCGCCCATGGGTGCTGGTACTGATTAAATGAATGAGTTATGCTGTGAGAAAATTAACTCAGTGGTAATGTTCTGGATAGACTGGAGAGGGGAAGAAAAAGAATAAAGACTGTTTTCAAAACAAAACCATGAGAAAAGGAGAAAGGGAAACGTGCTGAACACATGCTATAGCTGGGCACTCTGCCAGTTACTTTCAAATATACCATTTCATTTAACCCTCACAAAATAAGAGGGGGGGGGAGGAAGGAGGGAGGGAGAGAAACTATTCTTATTCCCGCTTCACGGATGAGTACACTGAGTCTTGGGCAGGTCAAATACCAATAGCCAGAGCTGCCTTTAACAGCAGTCTTTCCACAAAATCATGCTCTTTAATGGTGGTAGTAGCAACAGGAGTAGAGGGAAGGGATGGCTGCGAAGGCTGGACAGAGGCCAGATCCATGGTGATTATGAGGGAGCCAGTAGATAGGCCACAGCACAGAGGACGGCTGCAGAGAGCCAGATGGAGCACTTAACTGAAATGGAGATCTGCCAGAGGAAAGAGTTTGTGGAGAAAAACAGAAGATTATCATCATTACTACTGTTATAAATGATGTACCCCCACAATATCAGCGGTTGAAGAGCAACAGCTAACATTTAATAAACATTTGTTGTATACCAGGCACTCTACTACATGCTGTGCATGCATTATTTCTTGTTAAATAATACTGTGTTTAATTCTCAAAATTGCTTTACTCCTACTCTACAGAGGTTAAGGAACATGCTTGAGAACAGCA